GCTTTTTGTCCTATCCTCAGAGGTTAAGAAAAACATTTTTTCTCCCTCCTCCTTGTAACAATCTTTTACATACTTGAAAACTGTTATCACGTTCCCTCTCAGTCTTCTCTTTTCCAATTTGTTCAATCTTCCCTCATAGGTCATGTTTTCTAGACCTTTAATCATTTTTGTCGCTCTTCTCTGGACTTTCTCTAATTTTCCACATCCTTCCTGAAATGTGGTGCCCAGAACTGGACACAGTCATGGTTTAAAAACGTCAAGTTACAGAGAATTCACCATTTACACTAGTTTAAACCTGCAAGTGACTCATGCCCCACGCTGCAGAGGAAGGCGGAAAAACCCCAGGGTCTCTGCCAATCTGACCCGGGGGGGAAATTCCTTCCCGACCCCAAATCTGGTGATCAGTTAGACCCTGAACATGTGGGCAAGACCCCCCCTGGCAGATACCTGGGAAAGAATTCACTGTAGTTTCTCAGAGCCCTCTCACCTAGTGTCCTGTCTCTGGTTGCTGGGGATTTTTGCTACTGGCAGTTGCTGATGGGCCACATGCCATTGTAGGCAGTCCCATCATATCATCCCCTCCATAAATTTATCAAGCTCCGTCTTGAAGCCAGTTAGGTTTTTTGCCCCCACTGTTCCCCTTGGAAGGCTGTGCCAGAACTTTGCTCCTCGGATGACTAGTCACCTTCGCCTAATTTCGAGCCTAAACTCGTTGATGGCTAGCTTGTATCCATTTGGTCTTGTGTCCACATGGGCGCTTAACTTAAATAACTCCTCTCCCTCCCTGGTATTTATCCCTCTGGTGTATTTATAGAGAGCAATTGCTTTAGGAGTCAAGGGCAAAACTCTCATTGACTTCATGGGGCCAGTATTTCACCCCTGCCGAGGAGTGGCGTGTTCCCATAGCAATGATGCCCATTGCCATGGGGTGAGGTATAAGGCTGCTTGTGTGAACACAGCAGTTACCTTAACTCACCCAGCAGGTTTGCGGTGCCTCCTTTTTGACACCCACGGGTATTCAGCACAATTGCATGAATCCCCGTGAAATCGCTGGTGGTTTTGAGCAGGAGTGACGTGTAATCCCCTCCTAAATGACTATTAATGATTTTTTTACAGCTCCCCGTGCTTAAACGCAGCCTAGCTTGTCTTTTCCGAACTGACTCGTGCCAGGACAACGGAACGCGTCCTTCAAACGACAGAGCGGCCGTGAAGAGGCTCGGCCGGTGATCTTACGTCGCTCGAGTGGAGCTATTCCAGATTGATGCTGGTTCAGTTCACACAGCTTCTGTGTGTAGACAAGGCCTAATGCTTTCTGTAATCTGGAGTGGAGTGCACCAGTGGGTCGTACAAGAGACCAGGGTTCAAACCCCAGCAGCTTGCCCCTGGGTTGTATAGGCCAGACCTTCCAGCCTGCGGCTTAGAATATGTTGCTCGCTGACAGAGGGAGATTGTACAGCATGTAAAGGGATTGGAGGAAGGATGAATTTGTGAATGGCTGGATTTGTGATGGGGCATGGAGAACTCTGGCTTCAATTCCTTGTCTCTGCCACAGACTTCCTGTATGACCGTGGGCCAGTCATGTGATCTTTCAGCTCCTTCTCTATCAAATGGGTATAATAATGATCTTTCCAGCTCCCTGTCTGGAATGAAAACTCTTCTGTCTTAGGGCAAAGAAAAACCTGTGGCTGGCCCATGCCCCCTGACTCGGGCTTGTGGGGCTTGGGCTGCAGGGCTGTTTCCAGGCTCTGGGGCCCTCCCGCCTTGCAGCCTGAGCCCAGATGTCTACACAGCGGTGAAACAGCCCGGCAGCTTGAGTCAGCTGGCACGGGCAAGCCGCAGGTGTCTAATTGCTGGGTAGACCTACCCCCAGAGGTGAAAGTAAGCCGGTCTGGTCCAGCGTATCGGCAAGAGATAGTACGCCATGCCAGACCGCACTGGCTTCTGCAGCAGGGATTTAAAGGGCTCTGGGCTCCCCGCCGGGGAGCCCAGAGCCCTTTAAATCCCGCCCACAGCTCCGGCAGCCAGGCTGGGGCCGGGATTTAAAGGGCTCAGAGCTCCCCGCCACTGCAGGGAGCCCCGAGCCCTTTAAATCTCCCCCGCCGCTCTGGCAGCCGGGCTCGGGCGGGGATTCAGAAGGCCCGGAGCTGCCGCGGCTGCGGGAAGCCCCGAGCCCTTTAAATCCCCTCCTCAGCTCCGGCTGCCGGAGCTGCGGTGGGGATTTAAAGGGCCCGGAGCGCCATAACGGCCGGAGCTGTGGGTCCTTTAATTTGCCCCTGAGCCCCGGGGGCTCCGAGCCACCTCTGCAGCTGGGAGCCCCAGGTTCATTTAAAGGCCCTGGGACTCCCAGCCACAGCTGGTGCCCCAGGGCCTTTAAATATTGAGAGGCCCCGCCTCTTCTGGTTGAGGCCCCGCCCCCTTCAGGACTCCTGGCAGTACCGGTACGTCCTGTAAGTTATTTTCACCCCTGCTTACCCCTGGGTACTGACATGGCCCCACAACCACAGAAGCTGAGCACCTCCCAGTCTTTAATGTGTTTATTCTCACAACACCCCTTTAAGACAGGGCAGTGCTTTTAGCCTCATTTTACAGATGGAAAACTGAGGCGCATAGTGACTGGGCAGAGGTCATGCAGGAAATCTGTGACAGCTCAGGGAATTCAACCTACATTGCCCAAGACCCAGGCTAGCACTCTTAACTACTGCATGGTCCTTCGTCTTTCTGGTGCAGTGGCTGGCTGCCTCTTGCTGGGCATTTGTAATGGACCTCAGAAACAGGCAAACCTCTTGCAAACACCAGACTGTGCCTGAAACGCCTTTTTCTATTTCAGAGACTTGCCTGAGTGTGGCGATGCTTTGTTTGTGTTTTGTTTTGCTTCCTAACCTAAGGCTGGCTGCAGTCTGCCACCCTTTGATCCCTAATCCCTTTAAAATCCCTTGACAGGAGGGTGTGGCTCCTTCTGGAAGGACAGGGATTTAAAAAGCCAGTTTGTAAGTGAACAGGGGAGTTTAGAGAGAACACGTGAGAGCCAGATCCACCCCGCCACCTGCTCTCCAATCCCCCCAAGTCACACACAGGAGCAAGCAAACAAACCCCATCAAGAGTAAAAATAATACAGGCAGAAGTCCAGCAACAGAGTGGAGGCTGTCCGGTTTATTGCACTGAAAGTAGCATATATGATGACCTGCCTTGTGGGCAGGTGGCGTATGTGTGAATTCGGTGCAAGCAGTTCATGGACCTCCGGGACAGAAGATGGGGTCTTGAGATCAGAGTGGCTGAACTGGAGGGGCTAAGGGAAGTAGAGAGGTACATAGACGAGACTTTCCTGGACACAGTAGAGCGGTCCCACTCCAAGCAAGGAGAATGAAAGTGTTGGGGAAGGAAAACATCAAGCAGGAGCAGAGGGAGGCGATCCCATAGTTGGGATCCTCCTTCCAGATGATGTCATGGTATCCACTTGCACTGCCTAAGGGAGTAAAATCCCACCCTTAATTTTTCTGGTTACACTTTACATTAAAGTTCCCGTGTCAAGGGTAAAAGTGCTGCAGAGTGGAAAGGGTTAACACTGCAGCTAGTCAAAATTCTTCTCCTGAAACCCTTGTCGACAGAAAATTGGGTTTTTGGCTCAATGTAATTTTCAGGGAAAATGTCTGCTTTCCTTGAACGCGTCTGATTTTTTTGTTAGGAAAATGAAAGCCGAAAATTTCAGCTGAAAACTGATTTTTGGGAGGATGTTGGCAGTGTTTGGCTCAAAACGGTGATTGGGGTGTTTGGGTTATCCGATGAAAGGGTTGGAGTCACCCCAGGGCAGGGACATAGCATAGGGCCACTGTAGACCACCGTATGCTGATCACTTGATGATTCCCTGTTCTGTTCATTCCCTCTGGGGCACCTGGCATTGGCCACTGTCGGAAGACAGGATACTGGGCTAGATGGACCTTTGGTCTGACCCAGTATGGCCGTTCTCATGTTCTTATGTTCTGCTGCCCGCGCTGTACAGCCTCCAGCACTGAGGTCTTGTTGGGGTGGAGTGTGATGGGTGAAGCTTTGGTCTCACCCCGAGCATTCCAGCTGTCCTGCTTATGTAGTTGAATTCATCTCCCTTCATTCAAACTCTGTTGTTTCTAATTTCCCTCCAGATGATAGATCATGTTAATAACAATCGCTCCTAGGCCACAGAGCTGGGGCCCCTGAATGGGGGCTCCGACCCTGGCTTGTGAAGTCCTTGCTGAATCCCTCCTTGCGTTACAGAGGTGGGGCTGAGTCCGGTCTGGGAGTGGGGGCTCCATCCCCTGAGTTGTGAGGTCCATGACCCTGCACCTGTGTCACAGAGCTGGGGGGTCTGTGTGGGGGTTGCACCCTGTTGTGGTGAAGTTCTTGATCCCTTCCCTGCACCATAGACCCGGGTTTGAACTGGGTGCATGAGTGGGGGCCGTGAGGTTCATGATCTGCTCCCTGCGTTGCAGAGCCAGGGCTGGGGTGACACTGGAAATGAGCCGCACCGGGGCGCATTTCACTCCTCCGTCTCGTGTTACAGATCTTGTCTCAGGCCTTCCTTTGAGCCTGGAGCAGCTCAGGGGCAAGGCAGAGCCTTTCACTCCAAAGCCGTCCTCTCCTTCGTCCCTCTGCCAAGAGGGAGGTGGAGACAGCGTGTTCGACTGTCAGGCGCTGCTGATTTCGGTTGGACGTATTCCTGGAGGTTTCATCACATGACATAATCCTTCATTAGAGATTAATCTTTAATTCCTGGAGATGCCAGGACAATCCTGGAGGGCTGGTAACCCTAGCGACGGTGTTGCGGTGCCATGGGGAAATTACTCACCCCCCCGGGCTGCGATTGGCTCTGATGGGATGTAGCAGAGAGAGATGCTGCAGGAAGAGCATGCCTTCTGCATCCCTCCACTTCTCCACCCCCCCTCAGCTCCATCCTGGCACTTGCTGGGTGGCTTTTGTCCTGGCATGTGATTGCATCCTCCTCTCCCCCGCCCGCCCCGTTTTGCCTGGCTTCCTTCCCCCTGCCCTGCGGAGTGGAAATGGTACAGTCCTTTCTCCAGCAGACTGGTAGCTCGGTGGATGTTGCTGGAACGTAAGAGCATCAGCACAGGCTGCAGAGGCTGGCTTGACTGCAGCGAGCAAACCTATCACCAGGCGGGCACAAGAGAGGCAAGAGGCGTTCTCTCTGCTGCTGCTCCTAGCGCTCTGCACAAGTGTCGGTGCACAACGGTCGGTGTCCCAAGCAGGAGAGCATCACCCGTGAGGCACGATGACCCAAGGGAAGGTAGGTCGGGACCCAAACACCAGGCTAACCTTTCTGCCCCCCAAACTTTGCAAAGGGGGAATGGGACTATTTAGGCCCTGGGATTAAAAATCGTAGTGTTGCGATGGAGCCGAGAGCTGGGCGTCCTTGCACTGCCCAGCTGCGTGGTGCAGGAATCGGGGGCCTATAACAGAAGGGATCCGGCAGGGAAATGGAGCAGTGGGTTATATCACTGAGAGGTTATAGGGTCAGTGTTCTGATTCAGTCTGTATTTGTGCATAGCCCTACGGTATCCTGCCCAGGCCAAGTTTAGCTCCATCCTTGCGCTTTGTGAAGGTTATTTTTTCTGTACCACCAGCAGGTTGGCTAAAAAGGAGCAGGTTTAACCCCTCGTCCCCTGACATGTAATTAATTGAATTGGGATGGGGGAGGGGGGTTGTGCTTTCCCACCCACCCCTACCTCGAGAAGTCAGTTGCCATGGCAACACAGCATCCTCTGGTTACCACACACACACACACATCTATATATATCTAATCCTGGATGCTTCTGGGCTGCAGGAGTCTCTCTGGCTGAGTTTTACTTTTGAGCCCACACGGACATGATGCACTGTCACTATAAACACCAGATCAGTGGCTGTCTAGATGTAGACGGTGGCCAGCTACCCCAGTATCTGTTATGCAGCTAGGGGGACCAGACAGCAAGTGTGAAAAATCGGGATGGGGTGTGGGGGGGGGTAATAGGAACCTATATAAGAAAAAGACCCAAAAATCGGGACTGTCCCTATAAAATCGGGACATCTGGTCACCCTATATGCAGCCATGGGCTGGTTATATAACCCCCGGCCGATATGTATGCAGGGGTTACATAACCAGCTAGTGGTCTGTCCTGGGACAGCGAGATATGTTTTCTTTCTGGGTAGCTACGGCAAGGATGCTCCTTAATTGGCAGGGGGAGAGTCAGAGCCAATATTCTGCGTGCGGTCGGTACCACATGCTCTCTCTGATGGGATGCAGTGGGAGTCTGAATACAGGAGGGGGTAGATGCTGGGGCGGATACCAGCTCCTTATACAAGAAATCATTGCATGAAAAGACCATTTTGGAAGGATTCCGTTCCTCTTCCTCACCTTCCCTGGGCTTTTCCCCCATTTGAATGAGGTCATCTCATCCTGGCTCCTGTGGTGTTGATGCAATGTCTGCCATTGGTTGACAACAGACAGATGTCATCGCTGATCAGTTTATACTGGTTTTGCCTAGCTGGCGATTCGTTCGTGTTGTGTTGTGATGGATTTATTGTGGCTTTCTCTAGCCAATGATTGGCGTTGGTTGAGTTCACCTGGCCCGTCATTGGTGCAGTCTGAGTTGAGGTTGCCAGCGACTGGTGCACGATGAGCTGACACAACCAGTGATTGGTTGATATTGGTTTTATCTAGTTGTTGGCTGGTGCATATGGAGCGAGGTTAGCCTGTGATTGGTGCGTAGTGACATGGTGTAGTCTTTGAGTGGTGTTTGTGGATACATCCAAAACTGTGGGGCTGGCATGTAATGGGCTGGTACCATCAGTAGCTGCTTTGCTCTGTATCATGCTCATTATCTCTCTCTATACAGGTACATATCCTCTCTCTATAGGTACATCTTTGGCTCTTTTATAATTTTGGGATTGTTTATGGGTCCAAGCCTTCTTCCCTTAAAGTCAGTGACAAGCTATCGTTGATTTCAACGATGCTATTCTAGGATATTATTTCAGCGACTAGGATGGCGATGGACTTCTTTTAATAATAATAGCAATAATAATAATAATACCTACTTATATAGCACTTTTCATTCACAGATTTCAGAATGCTTTGTAAAGTAGGTGAGTAGCATTATCCCCGTTTACAGGTGGGGAAATTGAAGCACAGAGAGGGGAAGTGACTTGTCCACGGTCACCCAGCAGGTCAGAGCTAAAAATAGACCCGCGGTCTCCTGGGTTCCAGTCCAGTGCTCCATCTGCTAGGCTAGAATGCTTCCTATATTGGGCCACATCTGTCAGGGGTGGTGTAGGAATCCTGACTCAGCATAGTGGGGCTGGATTGGAGGTCTTCTTGAAATCCCTTCCAGCCTGAATTTCTATGATTTCTAAGACCTTGGCTTTGACCATGCAGGTATGATGCAAAGATGCCTGGAATACACAAGACTTTCCTCAGTGAAATGATGATTTCCTTGCATAAAAGCCTGGATAATTGATCCCTGCATCACCTGTGAATGAGTTTTACTGGTCTGAGTGGCCTAACTGGGGAAAAGCTTTGGCTCAGGGCTTTTCCGTTAGTCATAGACACAGGTGTAAAAAAATTATTACTTAAACTTCCAGCTCTATTTTCACTCTGATTTATGCTTTAGCTCAGCCAGAAGTTATGGGCTTGATACAGGAATTACTAGATGCAATTCTCTGGCCTATGCAATGCAGGAGGTCAGAACAGATGAACACAATGGTTCTCTCTGGCCTTAAAAGCTATTATTTAACGGTAGTTTCAAAGAAACTGCTGATGAAAGTGGATCTGCTTCATGTCCAATTGTCCGGGCCCCATTTGGGAACAGAAACACCCTGCTGATAGGAGAACATTCCCATGGACATAGAGATTCTCTGATGTGTTGCTGAGGGGTCTTTGTTGGATGTTTCCTATAAGGAAGTTTTGAGAAAGTTCCTGGAGTGCTGGCTTAGAGACTGATGGCAGTGGATAAAAAGCACCTAAGGGCTAATCTACAAATATATTGAGGTGAAAGTCAGTGGGAGTTAGGCACTTTTGAAAATCCCACAAGGCATCTATCTGGCCCGAGGTGACTTTCAATGGGACTTAGGTTTCTAAAGTACTGAGATGTTTCTGAAAATTGTACTCAGTGTAATGATGGAGGCCACAATTTTCAAAACTAACAAGTAGAGCTGGTTGATTTTTTGTTGCCCGAACCTTTTCCTTGGGGGTGGGGGAGGAGGGAGGAGAATTTTTTTGACCAAATGAAATTGTTCATGGGTAAAATGTTTTTTTAGTTAAAAAAAGGGCGGGGGGAATAGTGGTTTCTTTTTTCTTTGTCGAAGAACTGAACATTTTTTTGTAGGAAATGTAGAAAAAAAATCAATTTAAAAAAAAGGTCCCATGGACATTAATTCACATTTGGCATCTAGCGCTAGTGCCTAGTGATTTTAGGAGCCCGCCGTGAGACACCCCAAGGCAGTGAGACTCCGACTGAGGCTCGCAAGCTGCAAGTGGCTCTTTAATGTGTCTCTTTGCAGTACATGATATTAAAACATGGATGATTTAATTATTAACCAATTGAAGTTATTAACCAATCAGGATGCTTTTACTATGTTGTTAACCAATTGTAGTTGATAAAATAATAATACGTGGTCAGTCATTTAGTTGTGAGAAATATAGTAAATGAAACAATGAATTCACATGACTGTGGCTCTTTTGGGTAATGTTGATCACTAATTTGGCTCCTGAGGTCAGAGTATCACTGCTCTAAGGGTTCTAATGGACAGAGGACTCTCCCTCAGCCATTTCCACCGGCCGTGCCTCCTCTCACACTCAGTTGCCTATAATTTATTATCCTGTGTGTCCTCCCCATTTATCATCTATGTTTTTTCCTCTCCTCCTTTCCCTTTCTATCCCTAGTTTGCCTTTTCTTCCCTCCATTTGTCCTCTCCCACTCTCCTCTTCTCTCCAAATCTGTCTCTAGCTGGACCTTTCTCTCCTCCATTTTGTCCTTTCCCTGGTCACCCCTCCACTCATATCTGTCCCTCGTTGGCCCTCTCTTCTCCTCCATTTTGTCGTCTCCCTGGTCGCTCCTCCACTCATATCTGTCCCTTGTTGGCCCTCTCTTCTCTTCCATTTTGTCCTCTCCCACTCCATATTTGTCCCTCGTTGGCTCTCTCTCCTCCTCCATTTTGACCTCCTTCCACCTTCTCTTTGGATGGGGCCTGGAGTGAGGTTCTGTTTACCCTCCACTTTCCAACTTTGGGGGAGGGATAGCTCAGTGGTTTGAGCATTGGCCTGCTAAACCCAGGGTTGTGAGTTTAATCCTTGAGGAGGCCACTTAGGGATCTGGGGCAAAAATCAGTACTTGGTCCTGCTAGTAAAGGCAGGGGGCTGGACTCGATGACCTTTCAGGGTCCCTTCGAGGTCTATGAGATAGGTATATCTCCATATATTATTATAACCCTGAATGTTTCCAAGTATACCCGACTGAATTCACCCAAAGGCGAGATCCAAAGTCCATTGAAGTTGACGGTGTATTTCCAATGACGTTGATGAGCTTTGGATTAGGCCCAAATCACAGATGAGTTGCCATCTGTGATGTGTCAGCTGATGGTTCCAGCTGTGAGGTTGTTCTTGTTCTATCGTGGCTATTTTAATCCTGATTTCTCTTTGCCACACAGCTCTCTGTGAATAACAAGCCTCCTAACTCCGAGGGACAGCAGGGACAGGGAGAGAAAAAGGACAATGCGACCGCCCCATCGGCACCCCCGACATACGAGGAAGCAACTTCAGGGGAAGGGATGAAAACGGAGGCGTTCTCCCCTGCACCGTCTGTGCCGCTCCACCCCAGCTGGGCTTATGTGGACCCCAGTGAGTACTGGCTTGCCCTGCATTGCTATGAAATTCACTCGGCCAGTTTATTGTCCCCGTTCTACTGATGAATGAAGCTGAGGTGCAAAGACTGGGCCAAGATCACAGAGCAAGTCAGTGGCAGAGCCAGAAATAGAATCCGGGAGTACTGACGGTAGACTCCACTCCTTCTCAGAGCAGGGGGTAGGATCTAAGAGTCCTGACTGCCAATCCTCTGCTCTAACCGCTAGACCCTACTCCAGGGGTGGCCAATCTTTTGGCTCCAGAGCCACATGCGGCTCTTCAGAAGTTAATATGCGGCTCCTTGTATAGGCACCAACTCCGGGGCTGGAGCTACAGGCACCAACTTTCCAATGTGCCGGGGGTGGGGGGGCTCACTGCTCAACTCCTGGCTCTGCCACAGGCCCTGCCCCCACTCCACCCCTTCCCGCCCCCTCCCCTGAGCCTGCCGTGCCCTCGCTCCTCCCTGCTCCCCCCCAGAGCCTCCTGTACACCACAAAACAGCTGATCGGGAGGTGCGGGGAGGGAGGGGGAGGCGCTGATCGGTGGGGCTGCCGGTGGGTGGGAGGCACTGGGAGCTGATGGGGGGGCTGCTGACGTATTACTGTGGCTCTTTGGCAATGTACACTGGTAAATTCTGGCTCCTTCTCGGGCTCAGGTTGGCCACCCCTGCCCTACTCCCTCTCAGAGAGGGGGATAAACTAAGGAGTCCTGACTGTACGGCCCCTGGTAGGGCTGATTTCTGAGTAAGCAAACAGCTGGTCATGTTATCGTGAATCTCAGGTCGTGTCTTTGGTGGATGCATCTGACTCCTGGCTTGTTTGGATTGAATTTCCAGGTGTGTATGTGTATGGGGATTATTTCTGTTACATCCTGTAACTGCATCCTTAGGGCTCCAATGACGGTAAAGATGCATCCATGGAGACCTCCCGCTGCAGGGAAGCATGGGGCTAGTAAGTCGCTGTAAGAGGTGTTTATCTGGAGCTCCCTGAAGACACTTGCACCTTGACTGTCTCTGAATCTTTCTCTCTCGTCCCCTTCTGCCTCGGTGTACATGTCCGTAACAGAGAGCCGATAAATAACACGTAATTGCAAGTTACAAGGTTATAAATACACTGGGGGATTGCTTTGATCTATCGACTCCAGACCCATGCAGTTTATAAGTCTGGCAAAATTCCCACGCTGCAGCTGTGTGCCCAGTTGTATTTGCCATCATATGGAGGTCCCCCTCCCCGCCATAGCATGTAATGCTGGTACCATCTGTACCAGCAGATGGTACCAGCTCCCTTGATGGCCAGGGCCGGCTCCAAGTTTTTTGCCGCCCCAAGCAAAAAAATTTTCCCATGCCCCCCCGGCCCCACCCCAATTCCGCCCCTTCCCCAAATCCCCTGCCCCGCCTCCTCCCCCGGGGGCACCGCATTTCCCCTCCCTCCCAGGCTTGCCTGGGAGGGAGAGGGGAGAAGCGGAGCGGTGGCACGCTCAGGGGAGGAGGCGGAGGTGAGCTGGGGGGGAGCGATTCCTCTGCCCCGCCCAAGGTTACTTCTTGTGGCCCTCCCCGCGCCCCCCACTGCCGCAGCTCACCTCCGCTCAGGGCCGACTCCCCGCTTTTTGCGCCCCAAGCAAAACAAAACCAAAAAAAAGGAGCTGGAGTGCCGCTCCTTGGAAAGTGCCACCCCATTGGAAAGTGCCACCCCAAGCACATGCTTGGAGCGCTGGTGCCTAGAGCCGGCCCTGTTGAGGCCACCATGTTCCTCTTATTCCAGGTCCCTTTCCTCTTTCTCTGATCTCTCTGACCCCTGCCTGGCTGCAAGCTGGGGGATCCTATATCCGGGCTGTGTGTGTGACACTGCATTGTGTTGCACTGACAGGCACTGTGTAATGTACGAAATACCCAGAGGCAAACAGAAATGCACTGAGTGGGGCAAAAAGATGCGGCTTGGTTTATTTTAGCGTGGGAGGCCAAACATTACTTGCCCTGCAAGAGCACTGAGTTCACCTTATTACCAGTGTGGCCAGATCCGGAGGCCTTACACAGGTTAAATTCTCATTGACATGGAGCGTTTGCCTAGGAAAGCAGTGAGTTAATGGGCAAAGCAGGGGAAGAAGTGGCAACATCTTGGAAGTAAGGAGTGAACAGCACAGGCTCCGGCTTGTAATTTTCCCTGGGGGTGCTCAACACCCCCTCAGCCCCAGGCCCCGCCCCCACTCCGCCCCCACTCCGCCCCTTCTCCCAAGCTCCCACCCCCACCCTGCCTCTTCCCACCCCTGCTCCATCCTGGCCCCACCCCCACTCCACCCCGTCCCCCAAATCCCCATCCTGCCTCTCCTGCCCCCCCTCCGAGCGCGCCCCATCCCTGCTCCTCCCCTTCTTTCCCAACGCCTCATGCACATCGCAGAACAGCTGATCGCGGTGGGTGGGAGGCGCTCGGAGGGAGTGGGAGGAGTTGATCGGCAGGGCCACTGGTAAATGGTAGGCGCTGGGGGGTGGGGTGCGGTGAGATGGTTGCCAATGGGTGCTGGAGCACCCATGGAGTCGGCGGCTATGGTGAGCCAGCAAAAAGGGAAAGATGGCCTAGTGCAGGGGTAGTCAATTATTTTTTGTCAAGGTCCAAATTTCTTGGTCAGGGTATAGTCAAGGTCCAGGCTCCAGAGAAAATAATAATAATAAAAATAACAATATTGATAACAAGGAAATAAAAATATTCCCGGGTCTGTTCAAAAGCGTCTGCTGGTCCAGATTTGGCCCGCAGTCGGCCTACCACTGGCCTAGTGTTTAGGGTGTTAGCCAAGGATTTGGGTCAAGTCCCTGCTCTGCAACAGCCTTCCTGGGTGACCTCGAGCAAGTCACTGAGCCTGTCTGTGCCTCAGTTTCCCATCTGTAAATTGGAGGAGATCTATCACCCTCTGGAGCGGTGCTGGGAAGATAAATGCATTATAGATGGCAAGGGGGGATTTGATAGCAGCCTTCAACTACCTGAAGGGGAGTTCCGAAGAGGATGGAGCTCGGCTGTTCTCAGTGGTGGCAGATGATAGAACAAGGAGTAATGGTCTCAAGTTGAAGTGGTGGAGGTCTAGGTTGGATATTAGGAACCACTATTTCACTAGGAGGGTGGTGAAGCACTGGAATGGGTTACCTAGGGAGGTGGTGGAATCTCCATCCTTAGAAGTTTTTAAGGCCCAGCTTGACAAAGCCCTGGCTGGGATGATTTAGTTGGTGCTGGTCCTGCTTTGAGCAGGGGCTGGACTAGATGACCTCCTGAGGTCCCTTCCAACCCAAATATTCTATGATTCTATGAGGCCTTCAGATCATAGGGTAAGAGGAGCTGGATGAGAACCTTTGGGAGGTGAGCTTGCCTGCCTGGATGGTAGGGCAGATGACAGTGATGCAAAGAAGGAGGAGAGGAGACGGTCTTTGGGGAGATATGAAGCTGCGGCGCTTGGCGCTCTTGTGTGACGGCTGTGGCCAACCCAGCAGAGACAGAACAGGGCTAACCAGGTGAGTCTATGTAGCTTGAGCTGGCAGCTGTAGCAGACTCACGTCCTCTCTGGCATGGAGGGGCGGGGGGCGCTAGGCATAAGCAGACAAAGCAATTGCTTAGGGCCCTGAGCAGCTCAAGGGGGACCCCTGTCTGCTTTTTTATGTCTTGTGTGTGGGGGGCCTCCCCCCGAGAATATTCCTGCTTAGGGCCCCCAGTGGGCTAGCACTGTCTCTGGAAGGGGGCGGGGGGCACACATTGACAAGGGGGTTTAAACCTTTGGAACTCTAAAATAATAGACCGTTCGTAACACGTGCACAAAATAGGAGAATTACAAGGATAACCGCACTTCAGGCTGTGAAGCACACAACAACGGCTGTTCTCGAGGGCTCTCAGCAGACCGAATGGTATTGCACGAGAGGCTCCGGGCAAGGTGGTGTTTTTCACCTTCCCATGATGGTAAGCCCGTAAGCGAGAGCTGGGATGCAGGACTAGATGGGCCAGTGGTTAACTGGGTTTGGCAAATCCAATCCCTGAGTTTGCCGTGAGTGACATGGAAGGTACATTGCATAGCATAGGCTGGTGCTGGTGCTGGATTATGGAGGGCTGTGTCGAATTTAACTGCACCCTGGATCGGAGGCCGAGATCAGAGGAGTTACTGGACTTCCACCAACAAGGACTGAAGGCTGAGGCACTTGGGACACAGGGACTCAGGATCCTGGGTTCTATTTCTGGCTATGCCAAATGTTCCCCATGTGACCTTGAGCAAGATATTTAGGCACCTACGTCCCTCTCTGTGCTTCAGTGTCCTTGTTGGTAACCTCCAGCTGTTGACACCTGCCTGCATCACAAGGGGACGGTGGAGCTAAATTTGGAATTGCTTGTAAAGATCGTGGAGAACCTTGGGTGGGCCGGGGTAGGGAGGTGCACTAAGGCCTTGGTAATCTCTTGGTAAACACGTCCTTCTCAGTGCCAGCGGCTCTCTCCGTTTCCCTGGGAGGGGCTAGAGAGGATCAGTATGGACTTCAATCTCTTGGTAAACACGTCCTTCTCAGCGCTAGCCCCTCTCCGTGTCACGAGCGACGATATTATTGTCATCTGTCCACACCATGGTTATTATCAACAGTGCCATCGGCTTCCAGTCAACTCACGTATCGAATTTACATCTCAATGAATTATGTGAGATCGATCAACCTCTGGCATTCATGGTACCCCTCTATCATCATTGTCACTGTACATGCCTGCCTATGTATCTATCTAATTATGGTATTTCTCACTCTGTCTACCTGATCTGATGTGCTATAGGATGGACGAATGGTTTGAGCACAGAGCTGGGAGCCAGAGACTACTGAATTCTAAACTTGACTTGTATGCCTGTTCTGTGCCTCAGTTTCCCCATTTCAGTTATCCCTGATCCTCTCTCACTAGATGGTATTGCCTAGTGGCTAGACCACTGGACTGAGACTCAGGCTGCCTAGAGTCTATTCCTGGCTCTGCCATTGGCCATCTGGGTGACCTCAAACAAGTCACTTCCCCTCCCTCAGTTTCCTCATCTGTAAAATGGGGATAATGATACTGACCTCCTTTGCAAAGTGCTTTGAGATCTAGTGATGCTAAGGGCTAAGGATTATTATTCTGCAACAGCATCACTGGTTGCCACGGCTACGGTTACATCACCTTCTGCCCCCTACTGTCAACTCATTTGTCCACATAGTCCCATGTACCTGAGGATTTCCCTACTCTTACCCTTCCCATAGATCGGGGTGACGTTTGCTGCAGGCCTGGCTTATATGCGCTAAACCTCAGAGATGATCCACGGGGCAGGTTTGCTCTTCCCTGTTTGTGTTTCATTATAGGCAAAGAAGGCTCTTAATGAAGAGCTCTCAGTGCAGGTGGTTTGGGAACAGGTCTAGAAGGCAGTAAGGGACCCGGGTTCTCTCTGATCTAGGCTCAGTGCTGAGACACTCCGTGTCTGTGGGCAAGTCAGTCAGCAGCCCTGCGTGTAACTCGCATCGGGGGCAGGGCAGAGGACCTCCTCGAAAAAGCAGCCTATGCACTTGGGAAATGAGTTGTCACAAGAAATGAGGCAGGCACCTGTTAATCTCAGGTACGGTGACCAGACAGCAAGTGTGAAAAATCAGGAGAGGAGGTGGGGGGTAATAGGAGCCTATATAAGAAAAAGACCCCAAAATTGGGACTGTCCCTATAAAATCGGGACATCTGGTCACCCTAATCTCAGGCAATTAGACAGCACCAGGGGATTGCAGGGCTAGTTTAGCAGAGGGCTGTGGGTGACAGGACAGCTGCATCCACGTGGGGGTATTTAATATTCAGTGAAAGGTGAGGCCTCCAGTCATGGCTGGAAAGTAAGGGTGTAATCCGAGCCTTCATGACGGCTATTAAAGATCCCATGACACTGTTAGCAAGAATACGGGTGTTCACCCCGTGTCTTGGCCACACGTCTAGTTTGGATAATTGGATCCCACTTCTGTAAATTCTCCCCAGAAACAGGATTCTGCTCTGCCTCTCTTGTTCGTTGTTCAGCAGCGGCTGTGCCCCGCCCCCTGAAACTTTTGAAACTTTCTTTTGATTTCCTTTTGATTTTTGATTTTCATTTTGATCGTTTCTTTTGATGTCATTAAAAAAAAACAGTTCAAAAGCACGAAGAATGTTTTGATTGGGGCGATACAAAACAGTTTGTTTGACCCCTTCCTCCCCCCCCCCGTTTTTTCTTTTTTACTTTTCGACTTACCCAAAATTTTCAAAAAAGGTTCGTTTTCTATCCGACCTGACACAATTCCCTGCCCCCCACCCCCGACTTTTCAAAAGTGCCAGTGAACCGAAAAATCCATTCTTTGCCCCGCTCTGCAAGTCTACTCCCAAGCCACAGGAACCAGCCTGATGGTCAGGTTATGGAGCAATCTTCAAGTGGATCACTGAGCTCCTCCTGCTACGGCAGAACTCGTCTGGGCTTGGTGGCCATTGTTCCAAGGTTAACAGCTCTTCAGTTGAGTTTGTTTAACCAGAACTGGGACATACTTTATCTTTTCTTTTTTTGAGTTATGACTGAGTTAATCAACGGTCTTTTTTTTTTTTACAGTAGGTTGTGACCTTTTATGTTGTCACATACGGCAACTCCCAAACCGCTCGCTTAACAGACTTAAAACTTTCCATGCTCTCGGTGCTCAAAGGGGAGGAAGGGGAAGGTTTCCAGAAAGGTGCTCCTTTGATAACAGCTACAGACCGCTGAGAACACGGGGCCCAGGTCTCAGTGGATCAAAGGCCATTTTATGCCTCTCTGGCAGTGTAAAGTGGACTCACAGTGGGTTTAAACCGCCTCCTGAGAATCTGCTTTTGTGGAGGGCCTTCGCCAGCTTAGGGGGTGGGTGGGGAGCCTGGCCAGAGGACACTCTGCTGTGACAGTTATCTCTTTTTCAGAGCCCATAGGGAGCCATGAGAAGTTAGGGTAGCCCAAAGGTTGCTCTAATATATACTGAGACTGGGCCCTGAATACAGAGTGTCTAACACCCTCTCGCCACGCCCAAGTTCAGGTAAAGTTAATCGGGTGGGCAGTGTTCTCCAGGGCCCCCATCCTTGGAGTGGGTCACTATATGATGTCAGCATTTCTGCTCCAGGACTCCCTCCGTGGGGTGAGGCACAAGGGTGTGTGAGGCCATTTCCTCTTCTCTGGGACCCCCCACCCAAATGTGGTACAAGAGCAGGTGACCTGGGGCTCATCCGTGGGGAGCATGAGGAGTTGCCTAGCTCGGCCTTGAGATCCCCATCCCCATGACACCCAACAGCTGATACGTCCCAGTGAACTGTCTCCCAGCAGCCAGTTTGTCCCACGGCCTGTTGAAACGACTCTCTCCTTCTGCTGAACGACAGACGCCAGGCAGGCCAGTCATGTCCCGCAGCTCCTGGTGCCAGCACGTTGGCACCTGATTTCTCTGCCTCGGGGTGTGTTACAATGGAGAGGGAAGTCAAGTTCTGGAAGGTGACCAGTGGCTTTGCATTAGGTCCTGCCTGCCCACACTCTAGTGTCTGTAATTGTTGCGGGGGGCATGCTATTGTTCTGACCCTGTCATGCCAGGGCAGGGCTTGTGGTTGCAGCTCCCAGGAGATCTGCGCCTTTAGTTCTCCTCGGCAGAGCGGCACTTATCACTGTTGGAGAGTGGACAGCAAAACGCTTGTGCCTCCCAGCTAGGAGCTCCTGGGGAAGGGTCTTTTCTTCTCTTTCCCTTTGGTCTTGAATTGTGTCTCAGGCCAGGCATGGGATTGAGGCAGGATCTGAGCTCAGGCAGGATCAGGATGCAGCGGATAATTCAGAGTCAAAGCCACAGGAAGACGTCCCTGATGTGGTTGGCTGGGTAGAAAGATCAAGGGCTCAGGAAGACAGGGTCTAAGCTGGGATGCCTAGTGGAAGTATCTCCTTGGGCTGGTGGTGCAACGTGTGTGGCAAATCTTGAGGTTTGGGGGGTAATCCAGGCCTGCTATAAACTTGAATCCACCCCTGGTTTCAGACAACACCCCAGTGCCCCCTGGGGAAGTGGCAGGACACAGTTGAGGTGACAGGCAAAGCTGGGAGGTGGCATCTGATGTGCCTTTCTCTTTCCAGGTGCCAGCCCAAACTACGGCAGTGGAGGGTACCCCGGGGACACGGAGCTACTCACGACCTTCAACTGGGATGACAAAAACGTGCGCAGAGTGTTCGTCAGAAAGGTACCTCCTGGGACAGCCTCCCAAGCTTACATAGGGATCCTGGCTGAAGCTAATGGGCCCCAAGAGGAGTGTGTGTGGGGGAGAATGAAGTAAGACGCAGCTCCCTGATCCCAGCCAGTGCAATGATGCGCTAGCCCAGTGCACGGCTTGGATGGCTCAGGCTGGTGAGACCCAGCGAGTGCCGCGCTGCAGGGCCTTCAAGCTCACGTCAATCGGCGCACGTTCAGATCTGCATCTGAGCTACCTGGCTCAGGCCCACTGGGGAGGATGAGCCCAAAACGGCGCAGAAAGAGTTAATTAACGGCGTCGTATTGGGTTCTGGTGATACCGCAGGGCCGTCTCCATCACGCGTTTGGAACACATGTTCTTAAGGAGGATTAGGGCAGCAAAATGGTTCCTTGGCCAGATAGTGTATATCAGCATAGCTCCATTGAAGTCAATGGACCTGACCCCCAACTGGGGTAAATCCACGTAGCTCCAGTGAAGTCAACGGGGCCAGATCCCCAGCTGGTGTAAATTGGTGTCGCTCCACTGAAAGCAATGGGCCAGATTGCCAGTCGGTGTAAATAACACCGCTCGAGTGATGTCCATGGAGCCACTTACATCACCTGAGGATCCGACGGAGGGTTTCCATCAGCGGAGGATCCAGATAGGGGAGCATGGGGGCGGAGTTTGCCTCCAGCCAGGCATGACTGTGATCCGCACTGACAAGATGCTGTGGTTTCTCGTTTCAGGTCTATGCCATTCTTATGCTCCAGCTGTTTGTCACGGTCAGCATTGTGGCTCTCTTCACCTTCTGGTAGGTCTCTGAGTTAGCAACAATCCTCAGCTCTGATGTCTTACTTGTGCACTTGGGTATCTTTTCCTCAAGTATCGGTCACTCAGGTCCTTGAGTATCTTTCACTTGGTCATTATCAGTGACTCGGGTACCTGGATAACTTTCCCTTGAGTGCTGTCTCTCACTCAGGTACCTGGAAAAAGAAGAACAGGAGTACTTGTGGCACTTAGAGACTAACAAATTTATTAGAGCATAAGCTTTTGTGGACTACAGCCCACTTCTTCGGATCATCCGAAGAAGTGG